GGGGGGGGGGGGAAGAGAGATTTGCCCTACCTTTCCAAGGGGACTATATTACTTTGGTCGAATCGAAATCTCTAGTTAAGAGTAGATAAACTTTTACCATTCTTCACCATACTCCTTGATGGTACTAGGGTTCTTTTCTATAACATCACCATGACAAATATTATCGTTCCTCAGGGTTTGGCTGCTTGGTCTTTTGTTGGCCGAGAGTAAGTTCTCTTTTTTCATATACTACAAAATTTTCTTCTCATTTTAGTTGAAGGGAGCCTTGGAGCAATGGTAAAATTATCTCCATGCATGTGATGCCCTATAAGTTATGTGCTTGCATCAGTGTAGGACCGGTAAGCTGACTACATCACACCCCCTTGCAATGCGATTCTTTTCTGAACCTTGGAAAAATACGGAGAATGTTTCGTGCATTGGACTGTCCTTTAGCATAAAAATTTTAGTTACACTAATTCGATTAGTGCCATGGAAAGCCCATTATTGAGTTAGGGGGTGGGGTGGGGGGGATAATTAGCCCTTCCTGTCGATATGCTTGCATCAACATAACACTGATAAGCTACCTATATATAAGTACACGCCCCTTGTAATGCGCACGATCCTATGCTGAACCCAACGGAAACGCAGGATATTTCGTGCATCGCAATACTTTATTTTTTAGTATAAAGTTTTAAGTGCCATAGAAAGCCCACTATTGAGTTGTTGGGGAGGGAAGTGGGGCTGGGGAGGTTCCCTTCTTATCGAAGGGGACTACATTACTCTCGCTCGAATCAAGATCTATAGTTAAGAGTGAATAAATATTTACTATTCTCCACTATATTCCTTGGTGATAAATGCATATACACCATAGTTGTTATCATAACCGTACTCACTTGTTTATGATGTAGGAATCAATTGACCTTTTCTGAGGAAAATTGTAAAGGAATTGGATCAAACACAACGCAAAGAGTGTCATGGGAAGCCAAATTGAGCCAACAAGAGTTACAACAATTAACAAGCCTCTCATTTATTGATAATGAGGGTTGGATTATGAAGCAGCCCGTCAAAGTCCTATAGTTATTATAATATAATATATAATAAATCTTTTTAAGACATGACAATTATGCTTGGAGTCCACGGCTGACTTATTGCTAGAATGTATTAACAATTTACTGCTAGAAACTTATTTGAACCCTAATTTTACTCAAGTTGGACTTTAAATGTTTTTTTCAATTGTAAGTTTGTAATTGTTATATGTAAAACTATGCATCCTATTTATATGGGAATTATGTGTTCTTTGTTTCAAATATACGTATTAGATTAAAATGTGTGTGATTATGAGTCTTATTCTCTTGGATTGAGATTATTGCAAAAAAAAATGGTCTTTTTTTAAACTTTTCATTGGTTAACATATTACCCACCAGAACATATACATGAAAATATCTTACTTCATGCCAAAATGCACACCAAACTTTGTCTTTTTTTGCATTCAGAAAGTAAATTGGAAAAAGTAGACGCATAATGAATTGAAGTGCGACAACACTTTATTATTTTTAATCGCACACACCATCATTATTTTTTAATTTGTCCTGATATTCGCTATCTGATTGAGATCCTGACTAATTTAAATTATATCGTGGGAGATTATCGTTGAATATGGGAAATCAAGAGAATTTATTGTCACAGCCCAAAATACTAACATGTCATGATGGTGCTTATCTCAATACTAGGCAAGCCGACAATCTTAATAAATCACAATTTCTTTTAAATACGGAAAACATCATAATTCTAGCTTAAGTAAAAATCCCACAAATACTCGGTAAAACATATTCTCAAAGCCTGTTGTCACTGAGTACATGAACATCTAGTATGAATACAAATCTGAAAAATAAGGTCTATAATAGTCTAAGACCAAATATAGTAAATAAGAGATAGGGAAGGAGAGGCAAGGTGTGCAAAATACGACAGCTACCTCTAAATCTCCGAAAAGTCAACCGTACGAAAGAATCAACACCCGCTATGTCCGGGAACACCTGGATCTGCACACGAAGTGCAGTGTGTAATATGAGTACAACCAACTCAGCAAGTAGCAATAATAAATAAGGAACTGAAGATAGTGATTATAGTACATTTTCAGTAATTCCAGCATAGATTAGATATGCTTTCAAATTCAACATTTTAAGTCAAATCAATTCTATACAGTTCAAGTTCATGTATTCCGGATATAAAATCTTTCAAAAAATTTTACAATAATGACAGATAGCAACTAAGTGCAATAACAAATGAAAAGAAATTACAACCTCTCACGACAACAATCACTTACTGGGCTCCCAGCCCTCAGCAGTCACACTCAATAGGTACCCGCGCTCACTGACTGTTACTTACCTCAAGTCGGGAAATTCTTATTCTGCAATGTCTTTTCCTCGTGAAAATGCTTCCAAACGCCTCGAATCTAGCCATAAATAATTCGTTTCAGTCAATAAAATTTATTGAAATTAATTCCATAAGAAAATACAAGTTTTTCATAAAATTCGAAATTTAGCTCAAAAATTGCCCGTGGGACCCACGTCTCGGAACCCGACAAAAGTTATAAAATTCGAAAGCACACTCCACCACGAGTCTACCCATACTAATTTTACCAAAATCCGACCTCAACTCGATCTCCAAATCATCAAATCTTATTTCTAAATTTCAAAGTTCAAATCTCCGATTTACACCTCAAAACATGTAATCTAGTCGGATTATTCGATGATAATTCAATATTATGGAGTAGAAATGATCACAAGGGACTGACCTCAAGTTTTTCTTGAAAATCTATCAAATATCGTCTCTCCTCAAGCTCCAATTCGTCAAAAATGGGGAATGGGACGAAGTCCCCTGCTTTATAATACTGCCCAAACAGCCTCGGTCCTGCCTCGACCTTGGCCTTCGATCGTGGTCCTCGATCCTGGGCCTCCATCCTGGGCCCCGCTTCTGACCTTCGATCCTAGCCCTCGATCATGACCCTCGACCCTGGCTTCGATCGTGGCCCTCGACCCTGGGCTCGATCATGGTCCTCGACTCTGCCTTCGATCGTGGCCCTCGACCCTGGGCTCGTTCGTGGCTTGATTCTAGGCTCAATTTTTGGGCTCGAATCTGGGCTCGATTTCTGGCAGAAGGAATTTCCAGCAGAAGGAAATTGCAGCAACTGTTGTAGTTCAATTTTTGATCCGTTAATCATCTGAAACTCACCAGAGGCCCTCGGGACCTCAACCAAATAGACCAACAAGTCCTAAAACATCATACGAACTTAGTCGAACCCTCAAATCACCTCAAACAACGCTAAAATACGAATCACATATAGATTCAAGCCTAATGAATTTTGAAACTTTCAATTTCTACAAATGACGCCGAAACCTATCAAATCACATTCGATTGACCTCAAATTTTGCACACAATTCACAAATGACATAACGGAGGTATTCAAATTTTCAGAATCGAATTTCGACCCCGATATCAAAAAGTCAACCCCCCGGTCAAACTTCTCAAAATTTGACTTTCGCTATTTCAAGCATAATTCCTCTACCGACCTTCAAAAACTTTCGGACACGCTCTTAAGTCTAAAATCACTATACGGAGCTATTGAAATTATCAGAATTCGAATCCGAGGCCGTTTACACATAAGTCCACATTCGTTCAACCTTTCTAACTTAAATTTTCAATTATGAGACTAGGTGTCTCGTTTCACTCCAATTCCTTCCGGACTCGAACCAACTAACCTGGTAAGTCATAAAATAATTGTAAAGTATATATTGAGCAGTAAATGGGGGAACATGGTTATAATACTCAAAACGGCCGGGCAGGTCGTTACATTCTCCCCCTCTTAAACAAACATTCATCCTCGAACGGGTTTAGAATCATACCTGGAGTCTCAAATAGATGTGGATATTTGCACCACATCTCCTATTCAATCTCCGAAGTAGCTTCTCCGATTGGCTGGCCTCTCCACTGTACCTTCACTGATGCTATGTTCTTTGACCTCAGCTTTTAAACCTATTGGTCTAAAATAGTCACCGGCTCCACATCATAAGTCAAATTACAGTCCAACTGTACTGTACTAAAATCCAGAAAATGAGATGGATCTCCGACATACTTTCATAGCATGGATACGCGGAACACTGGATGAACACCTGATAGATTAGGTGGCAAAGCAAGTTCATAATCTACCTCTCCAATCTTCT